TCCCAAAACGGTTTTGACAACCACAGCCACCCATGTTTGCTGGGATACTTGCTTCCCTCCTGGTTTCCGGTCAGCTTCTCGAAGCGTCCTCTGTCGGACGCTTCAGAACTTCAGGCCCGCGCCATCCCGGAGGATGCGGGCTGGGAGACCATGGAACCCGCGAGCCTCAGGCGCGGGGCTCCGTTTATTATATATATATGTATGTATTTTCAACTATTGTTCTTGTTGCGTTTGTTGCTGTCCGAGGCTCGGTGCCCCTGCTTCAGCTTACGATACGAATTGGTGGTTTGACTTGGTGTAGGCGGTGGTTGGGTGGTTGTTGTCCATGCCTCCATCCAAGAAATGGAGTTCAAATCCCCAAACCACGAATCCAAACCCCAACTAGCTGATTCTTGGGTTTGGCTTACATGGACACTGAAGGAAGACCGGAGCTGGAAGGACCCCGCAAAACTTTGCGCATCGTGGAGAAGTGTTGGTTGGTCGCCACATTCCATAGGCGAAGTGATCTCACCCAGTTTTCTCGTTTTGCACCACCGAAAGTTGAACCGTAAATCGGTTTCCTTTCGGCGGTATGCCTCCCGTTCTTTGACCTTGGGTTAGAAATAGACGGCTTTAGATTGGCCATTAAAAAGGGATTTCACTCATAATGTTGGGGCTAGAACTATTTTTGTAAGGGAATTTGGAAGGTGCAGCTCCTCTTTGGTGGTTTGGCTTTCGGCCGCCAGTGAGGAACCCTGGCGAAGATACCGAGGAGGCCGACGACTCCCCCTGGGAATTGCTGCCCGCACCTGGGAAGCGCGTCGCGGAGCAAGAAGAGGTTCGACCCAAAAAGGCTGGGGAAACGCGGGGGCCATAGGTGTCCTTTTTGTTGGAAATAGATGGCCCTGGTAGATGATGAAACCACCAACTGAACCAGGGCCATCTATTTTTTCTACCAAAACAACCAAAAAGGACACCTATGGCCGGGGAAGAGTCTGGTGTCCTTTGTGAGTCTGCTTCAGCATGGATGGCGATGGCTTTAGTCTGGTTCAATTTGCAGGTGGAACCTGTTTTGTTTTTTTTCCCCGAAAAGACACCTTGGCTGTCCTCATTTTTCCTTTCAGTCAGCAATCAAGCTAGCAACGATCTCCGGCGTGAGTCTGGCCCGGTTTTGACATATTATGTTTGACTCCGTTTGACCAACATTTTTTTTGGGGGGTGATTACTATAAGGCCGGATGGCAGCAAATTTGACAGCATGTAAAGCATTCACTTGACATATCTGCTTGCAACATGTGCAACGGATACTTATTCCCACTAGTTGGTCTATTTGCAATTGGGGAGAACATGGGGGATCATTCAATTAATTACTCGCGAAAAGCCCAAGGCGACCACCCAATTTCCCAATGGGACAAGTCGTATTGCCAAAATGGAAATCGCTCGCCAGGCAGCAAAGCAAGCCTTGGCCAAGACGACGCAGGAAGAGCAAGAGGTGCGCGCGAAGTTGATCCATTGAAGTTGAGTGAGCCATGGTCGCGATGCGTCGTGCCCGTTGCTCTACTGCTATTGGGTTGGATCTTTGGACTTTAATTTTTTGGATTCCCCTCATTCCTTTTAACCAGCAAAAAGTTAAACTTTTTGCTGGGGGATCTACAGCACCCAAGGTTGACATGGGGTTTTGTTGTTATCACTGATACCACACTTAAAGCCACCGGGCCATGTCATGCTCCACTTGGTTCAGTTGGAGCGCTTGTTTGACCTGCTTGCTCGCGTGCGAGCGTGCATGTTTTCGTGGTTGTGTTCATGTTGTTAGGCAGCGTTGCTGCATCCCTTTTGTTTTCACATCATAGTTTGTGGCTTCTTGTCTGGTGGTTTTGTTGTTGGTTGCTTGGTAGTATTGCTGTACCTGAACCCTCAAACACCATAAAAAAGGGGCTACAACCAACTTTTCAGGGTTCTGGTTTTATCATACGTTGTTGTGGTTGTGCGCCATGGGTTGCTACTCTTCAGCCCGCTTGAGGGGAACTTCTGGAAACGCAGGCTGCGGATGCCATGGCTCCTGACGCGCACGGCGACTCAGCGAGTCCCGCAGAGTCTGAAGAGGCGACTCAGCGGTTCGTCGTACTGGCCGTGCAAGGTGTGAGTGTGCGTGTGCTTTTTGGAGGGTGCGCATTTTTGTAAGTGGGGGTTTAAAGGGAAACCACCATGATAGGCACCATCTTGGCGGTTCCCCTATTTGGGTACCCTTGTAAACTATCTTTGACACATACCCAGATGTTGGCGCCCTCGCATTCAGGGCGGATGCTTCAACAGTTTGATCCATTGCGCGAGGCGTCGCAGCTGGAGCCACTGGCTGCGCCGGTGGCGCTGAGTGACGAGGTGCCCAAACTGGAGGCGCCCGGTGGCGGGGGTGGCTCGTTCTTTGAGGGTCAGGTCTATATGGCTGTGGTTGTCAAAACCAATGGGATCCCATTTTGGGCTAGGTGCACCACCCAGCTTCTGAGGGTCAGGTCTATTTCTTTCAGGGTCATGCTTTCATGTTTGCTTGAGGCATGTTGTGTGAGGGTCATCTTGATCCTAAACCCTAAGCTTTCTGGAAGGTTCAGGGTTGCTTGCTGGAACGGCAAGACATCTGCCGACATTACAATGGTTCCGCGTCCTTTTTGGAAACAAGTCATATTGTTTGACGCTCACATGAGCGCCCGAAACCGGAGTGTTGTTGGCCTTTCAGTAGGTTCTACCTGGTTTTATTGTGGGTTGTTTGCAAGGCTAGGAAAGTTAGCTGCAGAAGCAACAACTGGCAGGACGGCCATGGTTGCGCACCCGTAATGATTTACTCTTGCCTGAAGACATTTCTCCTTATTTGTTGGTGGCGTGATGCTTGAGACACCCTGCACAAAGGAACACGGTGCGTACTTGTACCTAACCTCATGCATATGCAACACATGTCGGGGTGAAGGTGGCTGAGCCGAGCTTTGCCCAGACCACAGAGGAAGCACAAGCAGAGGCGCGCATGGGATCGATCGGCGGCTAGCATTTGTTATTGTTTTGGGAGGGGCTGTCAAAGATACGGCGCCTTGTTCAACCCTTGCCGCAAATTGCAGGGAAATCCCAGCGCCTAATGTTGACAGCCCCCCCATCAGATTTGGTCTCGTGGCCTTGTTGGAGTCGACTTTTTGTTCACGCTGAGCCATCTTCGGCTTTGATCTGTCGGGCTTGATGGCAATGGCAATACCAGATACGATATTCCTGGAGTTTGTGGCTAAAGGGTGGGTTTTCCATTCCACCTCATGCCCCACAGGGTCTACCCTTTGACTCACTTCCTGAGTTGCTGGGCTTTATCCTTGTGGGACCTATTCGGACTTTCTGGGCCCATGCACTCAAGAAGTGAATTGATTTCTGGATTCCTGCCGCTTTCTGCCACTTTGTTTGGCACTCCCTCCCCTCATCCAGCAGGCAGCGCCAGCCTTTGCAAAGACAACGCAGGAGGCACTGGCAGAGGCAACATCGAGCGTGAGAGGGGCTGAGGTGTTGTCAATGTCGCTGGACGTAACCTCACAAATCGTCACGTGTTGCCTTGCTTCTGATCCTCGTCACGCGCAAGGAAATGACAAGTCATGGCTCAGGCACAAGGGTGTGCAAGGAAACAGCCCCTCGCTTGACTGTCTCTTGTGACTACGAAATGCTTCATGCTGACTGCCCTGTATGGGTTGCTTTGAACAAGCAAGCTACGGTATGTCCCGCATAATTTTCCTGCCAGGATTCATATATTCAGTATGCCTTTGTCAGCGTAGGAAAATTTGGCTGGTCAGCTCACGAGTCTGCATCTACTTTAGTCTTCCATGTGTTACCATGCTCAGAGCAACTTGAAGCACCTTTAAAGCTAAGCAGAGTCCGAGTCAGCTAGATGATTTCGCCGCAGCCATGGAGTTGTAATGTTACATAAGGGTTGTTTTCGAATTTATCCACAATACCATGTCTATCCATGGAATCCCATATTGAATGAATGTTTTTTCCCGCCGAAAGGGGAGCCAGCCTCACATAGTCCTGCGGAGAAATCCGAAATCCCGCAACGGGTGCATGTGCGCCATGGTCCAAAGTGTGTCCTTGGGTTTGGTCGGGATGCGCTATCAACCTGATACCACAACATGGGTTGGTCTTGTGTGGGGCTACCCCTTTACTGTGGTTTTAAGCGAAATTCACGCAAACATCACCACCCATCTTTCGGGGGGGTCCCCTATTTTGCGAGGAACCCACATGCTTTGGACAACTTGTTTTTGCCACCTTTTGTGGAAGAATGATCGACCCCCCCGGTAGTGAAGGATTCCTTTTTGCAAAAGGTGGCAAAAAGACCCCCTGACTTGTTGTCCAAGGCATGTGGGTTCTCAAAAAGTAGGGGACCCCCCGAGAAAGACGCCGCTCAACCAATTCAACAGCCCCTTGGGGGAGCCATGGGCCACCCGCACCTCGGCACTCTCAAAGGCAGCGGCGCAAGCGGAAGCGGCGGAAGCGGAAGCGGCGGAAGCGGAAGCGGCGGAAGCGGAAGCGGCAGCAGTGCCTCAGGCCAGGCGGTTTTCTGGAGGATTTCTCGATTTTGATGTGGCGGTGCTTTTTTTTGCGAGGCTGCCCTTTTTGGGGTTTTGGTTTGGAGGGGATTTGATTTGTGGGGGCGGTGCTTTTGTGAGGGTGCCGCTTTTGTGAGGGTGCCGTTTTGGGGGTTGGTTTAAAAGGGTCTCGCTCAGCAAGGTGCAGCTGAGGGGTTCCTAGCTTACGTTTGGGCTGAATCTTGTTTCAACAGGGAAGAAGTCGTTGATCGATACAATATGTGATGCATGCTTTTGGCAACTGCCGCCATTCAACTTGAAGTATCCCCGGCACTAGGCTCGGTCCCTGCGGCCGAAATCGCCTTTTTCTTTTGCCGCGTCCTCGAAAGTTGGTGGTTCCCAGCCATCCGGGTCCTGAGGATTCTAGCTTTTTGGTTGGTTTAATGGGGGGGATTGGTTCATTCAACCCGCTGAAGGTTGAAGTTTAAGCGGGGGATCTGAGCTTCCTTCCAATCGGACCAGTGGGCCATCCACCTGTCATTCACCTCAGGGCTTTTTGGTGGACGTGGTGCACTCGACATCTTCTTCGGGGGTGATTTCCCCCCCGGAAATCAATCCCCAGACCCCCTACAAACCCAGACTGAGACCTTGGGCCCTGACTCCAGCTGCCAGGCCGAGCTGGCCGTGCCCGGGGGCGCAGATCTGGAAGCAACAGCAGGGGAATCGAGCTGAGCCCTCGAACTAGCCACGAAAAGGGATTTCACCCCACCTGCATTTTGGGGCCACCACTGGTTCAGGGAGTTTTGAGGCTCCGGGCCTTTTGAGTATGAACCCCATGGGTCTGGGGTTCCGGGCCCTTGAAGGGCAGGTTTCAGCAGGCGGAATGCCATTGTCATTGGGTGCGGTGCCATCTTGTTCCACTGGGGGGCCACGGGTTGATAGCCAGGACCCTGACTGCTTCTCCCATGTCCAAACCAAGTGGCCGACAAGAGCAAACCCATTGTCAAGTCCAAATCTGTTGCCTTGGCCACTAGCCACGGGGAAACATGTCATGTCATTAGTCATGGATGCGGCAAAACTCCCAAGCGTCAGGAGGTTCAAGGCTTCAGAGGCATGCGGACCCTTTCACCCCAAGAAACTCCTCACTTAGACCTACGTATGGAAGCCTGACCTTCACCTGGGTTTTGGAATTTGAGGGAACCCTCAAACGGATGGTTTCCCTCCGTTTTCCGTTTCAATCCAAGCCCAAAGGGAGAAAAAGCCCCATCGACCCAGCGTTTCACTCGAGGTGCGAGAGCTGCCCAAAGCCTCAGGCCGGGCTCTTGCTGCCTGGGAATAGCCAAGGGCCGCTTGATTGACACCACTTTGGTGCATTTTGCCAAGGGATGTTAGGACTTTAACTTTTTGCCAATTAATGGGTTTTCCGAGGGGAGCAGAAGGGGAGCTAACATTTAGCAGGGGAGCAGAAGGCAACCGAGACCAGTCCTAAATACTCGGACACGTAGAAGCAGTGATTCTAGGGGTACCTTCCATTTCCATTCTTTCCAGGGATCCTCTAGAGCTATCGCTACACAAGTATCGGATTGCATCTCCAATTTTCTTGGGTGTGTAGCACCGCTATAATGGTTGGTTTAATTGGTACCAATAAACATGTACCCTCGAAAGACGCCCAATTGGCTGTGGGAAAAGAATAAGTACCCAACATGGGTTGCCGTAGTAAATGGACACACGGACTAAAGCCTGTGGTTTTCTGTTTAATTTTGAACCCGCACCAATCGAGGGTTTTTCTGGGTGAACTTTTTTCACTGCTTTCCCTTCACCTGCCTGGGGTCGCGGCAACGCGCAGGTGAAGCGCACAGCTGCGAAGAGCCGCGCCAGGACATCCGTCGAAATTGGGTTTTCTCTCTCTCTCTCTCTGAAAGGGGGCCCTGCTTTGGCTTGGTTTGGAGGGGAAACCGAGAGGAAGACCCATCATTTTTCTGGATTCCCGGCAATTTGGGCACATACTTTTTGGTTCTAGATCTGCAATCTGAGATGTCATTTGTTTTTATTCAAAGCCGAACACCCAAATGGCAGACCTTGTTTTGATCGTTTGAGGGAAGCAAGTTGCAACACCCCATTTCAGGTTTGTTTTTTAATTGTACCTTTGTTGCTGGTTGCTTTGAAGGGAAGGGAACGCATACATCCTGAAAGCGGGGTGTAGATCCGATTTCCCCATGAAGCGATTAGGATTTAACTGGGCATCAGACTTTGTGACTGGTTTTACCTGTTTGGGGTTCCATGCAAAGCATGCAGAGTAATGCTGACCCCACATTAATCAATCACAGTTTATTAACGGTATCCCTAGGTTTAGTGGGGAATCATTATTTTTGGAGGGGAACACCCCCCCAATCAATAAACTGGGTTGAAGTTGATTAACATGGGGTCGACATTAACACCCAGCACTTGGTTCTAAAGGATTGCTGGCTTTTCCTCAAGCTAGGAACAGTTCAACTGCGACCTGGCAGAGGCCGGATTTTGTCCACTTTTACCGGGGGGGGGGGCGAATGCTCAGTGACACTTTGGTGGACATGAGCAATACGTTCTTGGATGTATTTGACCCAAAATTTGACCCCATTATTTTGCCACTATCAAAGTCACCCCAAGTAGTGGGTTAAAGGGAACCCTCCCCCCCCCCCGCCCCCCAGAAGCAGTCAAAATGACTTCAGTGTATGTCCACCATTCTGGAAAGGGTTCGCCACGGTGGGGTGAACCTACCATCAAGTGCGGTAAGATATGTTGGATTCCACGCACATGTTTGAAGTAAGCCACAGCCGTTCCTGTGGCTATCGTCAAGTAGTCGTTGAGCAAACTGTCATAGCATGTCCGCGACGTGTGTTGATTCCCGGTCATATTCTTGCACTTAAGCTCATTTACTCGGCTCGCGCCTTTTCTCTCAGCTGCTTGCCAGCATGAACGAACGCCAGCACCTTGAACCACATCTGCTCAAGCACTTTTTCGGCAGAAGTACCGATCATTTACTTACAGCCCGCCCTTTCCTACAGATTGAGGCAGACTAGGCGGCCTACTTATGAGCACGCTGCCTTCAGCAGAAACTTCATGCAGCCTTTGAGAGCAGCCATGGCCCTCATGGCCCGCGAAAGCAGATTTCAGCATGGAAGCCAAAGGAGGCCGATTTGTGTTCTCGTTTCTCCGGGTTCTATCCAGACAGATTTCACAGATTTCACTCAGACCAAAAAGCGATGGTCTTGGGCCTTCCCTCAGCCCGGCGCAGATTTGCCGAACCGCTCAAGCAGCCCAGGCATGTTGTTTTGTTCTTTTTCACTTGCGCCCGTCTTTTTCTCTGACTTCTCTTGGGACTCGACTCCCTCCGAGAATCCGAAGTGAGATCCCCGCTCTCGAAGCCGCGCGTCACTCATCTCCGCGCTTCGAAGCCATGGACGCGGCGCAGCAAGAGGTGATGAAGGCGGCGCTGCGGAGCGGCGTCGCGGGGAGCTGCGCGCAGGCGCGCATTCCGAAGGTTTGGCTGGACGCGGCTTGCGCTGCGGCTCACGTCCCTTAGGTCCGTTTCGGGCCTGAAGTTGTTTTGCGGGTTGGACCATTCGAGCGGGTAAATCAAAGTGTCTGGACTTTGTTGGGCCAATCCACTCAGGAAGTGAGGCGGAAAAAAGCAACGATGGGCTAGGTGTTGAAGGTATTTCGGAATGCGGATCACAAGCAGATATGCATTTTGGGTGGCGGGACAAAAGCCGAGGTAGCACAAGGTCTTCCCTCAAAAGAACGCAACAAAAAGGTGCACTCAAACGAATGATGTTTTTAGTTGAAGAAACCAGTGTTTTTCCTTCTCACCCGAAATAGTGGCCTCTCCCACTCGGAGATCACTGGGGGAGGGTTCTAGACCTGTGACCGCAAGCCATCTACAAGGAACACGCGATTGTTAGACAGGCCGCATCAAGAAGATATATTCCCTTAACTTTGAAAGAGTCCACATGAGCAGATCACCAATCCTGATATGTGGTTCAAGCGACGTGGTTAGGCCAATCTTGAGTTTGAGCAGATGTGAGTTTTCGAGGTATGCAACGCCAACAAGTTGTTTCTATGTGTGGCACAGTGGCACATTCTAAGAGTTTTGGTAGGCAGGTTTCAACAGTGGTTGTTGGATCTGATTCCCCATCTACATGATGCCTATTTTGTTCACATGGGTATGGGTCAAAATTAAACCACCCGGGACCGCAGGTTTTAGTCCATGTTTTCATGTACCAGGGTTCCATTTTGGGTACATATTTTTGACCCACAGCCACATCTATATTAAATATACCCACATACGAGTGCAGGTCATGTACATTGTGCCCCTGATGTGGCTGCGGACCATCATGGAGTACCAGTACAAGAACGGGGACAGCAGCTTGGCATGGACGATGCGGTCGCCCAAAAGATTCCGCCATGTAGACATCCACTGGGACCCGGGTCACTTCAAAACGGTGAGTCCCCCTTGGGTCCCTTTAAACCAACCCACCACATAGCTGTGGTTGTCAAAACCGTTTTGGTATCATTTTGGTTGGTAGGTGAATTCACCACCCATTTTAGGACCTATTCTAGTGGTTGGATTGGGATGTTCACCGGGGTACGATTTGGGCTTTTGACCCATGGCCAGTCAGGCATCCACTGGGATAGTACCTCATGCCCGGTTTGAACCCATTGGCCAAGGAGTAATTGAGAAGGGAGATTTACAAGCACAAGCCAGCGAATCAGCAGCCAGCTGCCGTTGAATTGAACAGCAAGGCGCGACAAATGCGGCCGCGTAGTGTTGACTAGATCTTTGGCACTCGCCTGCTTCACTGCAAATGCGTGGGCACAAAACCAGCCCAAGTGATCAGACATTTGAAGTTGAGTGTGAACAAACACTTGAACTAATCCGGCCTCAAAGCCATGGCCGCATTTCCCGCCATGGCGCCTTCTCCGTTTTTTTTGGTGTGGCGCTCGCGCCCCGAATCCACCGGCCCAAAAGGGTTTCTTCGTTTGGCGAATGGCTCCCGGCTCCTCGGCTCCCCAGAGATTTCCGTGAAGACTTGCGGGGGGCGAACGGCGAACCCTGAGCCAAGCTCAAGCCAACCCCGACCCCAAGCCAACTCTACACCAACCCTAAACCAATTTGCTAAACCAATTTGCTAAACCAATGCTAACCAAACCACACCCCAAACACAAGACCACAGACTGCAGGGGGGCGGTTGTTGACCTCATATATGAACCAGGAAGAGTACATCAGACCCTGGGAAGCGTGGTCGCACCCTTTCCAGGGGCTTTTTGGCAGCTGAGGCATCACCAGGGTGGCGCGAACCCTGTACCAGGAGGGTGGTGTGAGAAGGTTCTACCGTGGTCTCATGTGACTTGGCTGATCTCAGAGACCCAAATGCTATGCTTCGCAACACCCTTTTGCATTGTTGTTGTTTTCTCCTTTTTTTCTTTTTTTTGTTTGCCTGTGCATCCCAGTCCAATTTCAGTTGTTTTTGTGTTTGTCTCTGGCTCCAAACAGGCGAACAAATCGAAATGGTGAGTCTCCCTTTGGTCCCTTCAAACCCACCCGCCACCTTTTTGCCCTTCGGGAGCGGGGGATTCACAGCCTCAGAGGCCCGCGATGATTCTGGCGCCCACAGCGCGCTTCGGAGACACCGCGCGGCTCTCGGATCTCGATCCTTAAGCCTGATGTTTTTGTTTCTTTGTTGGTCCTTTCAACCAGAAGCAAACAACTTTTGCACAGGCCGAGCCGCTTTGTTGCGCCTTCGCTTCATGTTGTTTGGAGCAAATGAAACGCAGACAGTGGCAGCGTGAGAGGGCTTGGATCATCCTTTGCATGATGGCTTAGGACACCCAAGCCTCAATGGTTGAAGAACGATAATGCAGCATTGCGTACAAGAAACCAACAAATAGGCTGAGCAAGGATAGATGGCATTGATGTGGGAACTGTGATCTTCGTATGCATTTCACTTGGTCCAAGCCTTGGTTGCTCCAAGTTTCAAGCAGATGTGTCGCCGCAAAGGCTCCGTTCAGCCGGACGATGGAGGGTTTGCCACAATGCGACCCGCTATCTGAAATGGAGGGAAAGAGAAGGGGCATGTCGTTTCACGAGGCCGCCAACGAGCTGGCACTCTCCAGAAGCTTGGCAAAGTCAAGCTTGGCAACTCCAGGCAAGCCCGGTACGCAAGACCGACGAACTGTTTGGCTGGCCTGAAATAGTTGTTGACCCGGACAATTCGAACTTTCCATTCGAGTCATAGTGGCATGAGATCGTATTGCCCCATGAGGCGTTGCCGTTGCATCTTTGCTGACGAGCCAAATCACGGAGGCTCCACTCCTCCCTGGATCGTGTGTATGTTTTGAGCTTTTGGCACGCTTTCCCTGCACGAAGAGGCTTCAGGTACGAAGCACAAGACCCACTTCGCAAGAAAAGACACAGCAAAACAAACACAATAATCCACACTCAACACAAAGCAACCACATAGTCACAATTGCCATCAAATCAATTGCCTATCAGTTCCGAACCGGATGCATCCAGCCGGTATAAATAACAGAAGCACAGAGACAAGAACTACATGACTCAAATCAACACATGAAACAACACACACAAACACAAACCAACAACAAATGTTACTATCACGAAACAAGCACGACCACAGCCAGCCGAACTCAACAACTACGCAAGTCTTGCAGAATCTAATTCCGCAGCAGGTCTGCTAGAAACTGGCTCCCGACCAGATCTCATGTAAGGCTGCTTTTGTCCAAGCCTTGGATTTTGTTTGGGTATTTACAGCATGTGTGAGTTTTTTGGTAGCCTAATATACATATATTTTGTATATGGGAAACAGCTCTACATGTTCAGGTCTGTGGGGGGTCAAGGGTTTGTTAGGTGCTGAAAGGGTTCCGCCAAAGGGCGCCAACCCAGTCGCACAGCTGAGGACATAGAACTAACATGAAGCTTTTCGCATGCCCTAGGGCCATGCATTCATGGGCAAACGACAAAAAACCTAATGGGCATCAGAATGGTCACGGATCCCGCAGTGGACCCCGCAGTGGGGCGGTTACGAGGCTTCTTGTTAAGTGAACAGTGACCATGCATCTCATAATATGAGGAGTGTGTATTTCCATGGGACGCAACACAACATGTCAGCCGGGCACCACTCCGCGCTGGATGGCGCCACATTTTCTGAGGCCTTTCCAACACCCAAATGCCGCTGGCGCTGAAGACGCTTTGCATCTCGCCACAGTCAACGGACCTCTCACTGAGACACATGCAGCTACTGTGTTTTGCCACTCATCCACCTCGCTTGCACAAGGCCAGCGGTTTGCCATGTTCGTAAATAAATGCTGTGCTCACGGCCATCACAGAACAGATTGAGTTTTAACAAGCAATTCCGCGCCCAAAGATGTCCGGCAACAGCAAGAGTGTTTTCTGTTGAGTCTTTAACAAAGCATAGGCTTGAGTATCCCCTTTTCATGAGCTGCGTCCCATAC